AAAACTAAAGACAGAAAGGAAGAAGGAAAGAGACTGGGAGGGATGGAGGAAGGTAGAGAATATCATTATATTCTTAGAATTTTATATACAAAGTACATTGCTCTGTTAAAAACTAATTAAAAATTAAAATAAAAAATTTTAAAACCTAAAATTCACTGAGTATTCAATTGAAAGAGAAGAGAGTTGAGTGTGAGTTATGGAAATGGAAACAGGCAGACAGTGCTGTTCAGTCCAGAAAGCCCTCAATAAGGGTCGAAAGAAAGAGTACGCGAGGGCAGGTTGATTGGTGTAATGGTTAAGATGCCACTGGGTGGGGGACGCCCACATCCCACAGAGGAGCGCCTGAGTTCAAGTCCCGCCTTTCCTTCAGATTCCACCTTCCTGCTAATGTGCACCCCGGGAGGCAGCAGGTGGTGCCTCAAGTTCCTGCTTTCTGTTTGGGAGACCCAGACTGAGTTCTGGGCTCCTGCCTTTGGCCTCACTGACCCAATCCCAGGGGAGTGAATCAGTAAATGGAAGATTTTTGTCCATCTGTCTCCTCTGTCTCTCAAATAATAAAACTAATTTAAAAATAAAAATAAGCAAATTTTAAAACCCCAATATTAAAAAAAAAAAACATGGTGCCGGCACTGTGGCACACTAGGTTAATCTTCCACCTGTGGCACCGGCATCCCATATGGGTGCCAGGTTCTAGTCCCGGTTGCTCCTTTCCAGTCCAGCTCTCTGCTGTGGCCTGGGAAGGCAATGGAGGATGGCCCAAGTGCTTCGGCCCCTACACCCGCATGGGAGACGAGGAGGAAGCACCTGGCTCCTGGCTTCGGATCAGTGCAGTGCGCCGGCCGTAGCGGCCACTTGGGGAGTGAACCAACGGAAGGAAGACCTTTCTCTCTGTCTCTCTCTCTCTGTAACTCTGCCTGTCAAAAAAATAAAATCTTTAAAAAAAAATACAACATTGGTAAAGTGCCAAAGAACTATAACATTGACTTTGTTCATGTCAATTTCCCTTACTATTTTGAAAAAAGATTTATTTTGCTTATTTATTTGAAAGGCAGAGTTACAGATAGAGAAGACAGAGAGAGAGAGAGAGAGAGAGAGAGAGAGAGATCTTCCTTCCCCTGGTTCACTCCCCAGGTGGCCACAACAATGAGGCCTGGGCCAGGCCAAAGCTCCATCTGGATTTCTCCTACAGCGGTGTAGGGGCCCAAGTACTTGGGCTATCCTATATTGCTTTCCTAGGTTCATTTGCAGGAAGCTGGATCAGAAATAGAGCAGCTAGGACTTCAACCAACACTCATATGGGGTGCTGGCATCACAGGCGGCACTACAATACTGGCCCCAATTTCTTTTATTTGTTTTTAAAGATTTATTTGGTTATTTGAAAGGCAGAGATACAGTGAGAGAAGGAGAGAGAGAGAAAGACAGAGACAGATCTTCCACCCACTGTTTCACTCCCCAAATGGCTGCAATGGCCAGGGCTGGGCCAGGCCAAAGCCAGGAGCCTGGAGCTTCTTCTGGTCTCTCACATGGGTGCATGATCCACTGCCTTCCCAGGCACAGTAGCAGGGAGCTGGATCAGAAGTGGAGCAGCCAGTCTCAAACCAGTGTCCATATGGTTCGCCAACACTGCAGGCAGAGGCTTGACCCTCCACACCAAACCACAGCACCAGCTCCGCCCCCCCAATTTCCCTAATTAAACCTCAATAATCAACAAGACCCTAAGCCTCAGCGTGTTAGAGTATTGGGTGGAGGATAAGAAGATGGGGTAAGAAAATAGGAGAAGTAGAATAAATTAAATAGTAATAACGTTTTGTAGTAAATGGTTACGAATATAACAAATTTGAAATCTGTTGCTAAAGATCCTAATTCAATTCAATTCAGCATTGATAACTAGAGGCATAATCTATGTAGGATACAAGGCCAGGCCCCTTGGGGAAGGTAGGCAATGGAAAGACAAAGATAAGGTTGTTGCCCTCCTAAGTCTTCAAGTCTAAAGGAAGAAATAGACACCTGCAGGGGCTGGCACAGTAGGTTAAGCTGCCACTTGTGACTCCGGCATCCCGTTTCAGAGGGCTGTTTTGAATCTCTGATGCTCGGTTTCTGACCCATCTTCCTGCTAATGCATCTGGGAAAGCAAGGGAGGATGACCCAAGTACTTGGGCCCCTGCCATCCATATGGGAGACCCAGTTGGAGTTTCTGGCTTCTGGCTTGGACCTGGACCAGTCCCAGACACTGCAGCCATTTAGGGAGTAAACCAGAGAATGGCCATCTCTCTGTCTCTTCCTCTCTCTCTCTCTCTCTCTCTCTCTCTGTCACTCTTTCAAATAAACAAATATATGTTAAAAAGAAAAGAAATTAGGGCCAGCGCCGTGGCTCACTTGGTTAATCCTCCACCTATCGCGCCAGCATCCCATATGGGCGCCGGTTCTGTCCCGGTTGCTCCTTTTCAGTCCAGCTCTCTGCTGTGGCCCGGGAGTGCAGTGGAGGATGGCCCAAGTGCTTGGGCCCTGCACCCGCGTGGGAGACCAGGAGGAAGCACCTGGCTCCTGGCTTCAGATCGGTGCAGTGCCAGCTGTGGCGGCCATTTGGGGGGTGAACCAACGAAAGGAAGAGCTTTCTCTCTGTCTCTCTCACTAACTCTATCTATCAAATAAAAACTAAAAAAAAAAAAAAAAAAGATAAGAAATAGCCCCCTCCAGATTACTGTGACCCAAAACAAGCTGATATAATCATGCTGACAAATGCACTGAGCTAAGGAGGGTGAGATGATTATGACTCAGGAGAGCTGAAAGTCATGTGGCCCGAGAGGAAGTGGAGGAGATGCTGAGAATGAGATCTCGGGTGAGCAGAGCTAGGATGTCCCTTGCAAGGTCAAGCTTGGAGGTTCAGGCTCTGAGGAGAGGCTGGGGACCCGCCTGAGGAGAACTCCCAGAGGAGAGGAGCTCAGTTTAGAAGAATAAAATGAAGCTTGAAAAAGGGGGGGCAGGGAACCCTATTTCCATATTCTTGAGGAATACGGATTTTGTCAGTTCAGCCCTTGAGTCATCCTTTGAGGACACTCACCGAGCTTCTGAGAGGCCGAGTCACTCACCCAGGGTGCCCGGGGGCCTGAGCTGGGACCAACCCTCTTGTGCCCTCCAGAGCAGTGGCCCCAGGGACTGTTTTACAGAGAATGCTTCACTCACCTGCATTTGTGGGGAGACTTCTGTGATTTTCCTCTTCTGCTCTTGATGTTGCTTTTCTGCACAGTTTGACCTAGACATGGTTTCTAAAATATCATGTATAATAGCTGGCTTATACCTCAATTTAGGAGAAAAGTTGGGTTGTTTAGGTAATGTGAATGGTCTGTTAATGCTGTTGGCTTTAGACATTTTCACCTTGGGAGCAACCTTTGAGAAATCAGGGAGCTGGTAAAGAACTTGGCCTTGGCCATATTGGAATCCATGGCCTGAGGTTGCTGTTTCAGTCTCCTGTTTCTGGGGGGCTTGCCCTGGGCAGTTTTTCGGTTTATCCCCTGGACCCTTGATTTGAGTTAGAAATGCTGCATTTTCTTGATGGTGGCTGTCTCCAGCCACCTCTGGCCCCTTTGGGTCACGGATATTTTCTTCTGCTGTGATTCGACAACTGGGCTTCTTGCCGCTTTCACCATCTGTTTTGAGGTTGAGTTGGTCAGTGACTGCTGGGCTTTGTTCTTTGGGCCAAGGAGTCTGAATATAACCTGAAATAATGTTCTCAATGATGGCTGCTTCCTCAAAACTGTCTGAACTCAAGGTCTTGGGGAGTGTTTTATCATCAGTGCCTTGACCTCTTAAGAACCGCTCTTTGGAAAGATGGTGGTGTAAAACAGTAGAAATGTTTGTCTTTGAGCTATCTCCTTCATTAGCTATGACACGCAGAGTCACGGCGCAGTGTTTCTCTTTGTCATATTTTTTGTTGACAGCATTCTCGGTAGTTTTATCCAGGGTCATGGCTGCAGCTCTATTTCTGCAAGTCTCCTGTGTAGCCTTTTCCTGGGGGGCATCCCCTATTAAAAGAATTTGGTTAGTGACATTCCAGTGGGCATCTTTTGAGGTAAAATTATAATCAGTGCACATCTTGCTTCTTGGGAGATCCCCATCGTAAGGCAAGTCCTCCTGTTGTTTGTAAGTCATGTCTTCTGAAAAGTCAGCTTCGTCCATGCTCATGCAGCCCAATCTCGCCCGTCCTCTGTAGCTTGGCCTTGGGGTTCCTAAATGTGACAATGGGTCTTCTGGTTTTCATTGACTGTCTTCATTGTGTGTTCTAGTCTGCATGAAACAAGAATAGCCTCACTGTGGAATACATTGGGATAAGTGGGAGACTATGCTTATCCTGGTATCTATGCCAGGACAAAATGGGTATTTTTCATTTAGAGAAATTCAATTATAGACCTGAAGGCAGAAGACTTAGCCAAGAGCTAACTCTTCCTATATATGATAGAATAGTAAATAAAAAAAAAACTGGAAAGTGTTGGAATTATCAGGGAGACATTAGTCTATAGTTCATGACCAAAACTTTTTAAAGAGGTTTATTTATTTATATATTTGAAAGGCAGAGAGAGAGAGAGAGAGAAAGAGCAGAAAGAGAAAGAAAGAGAGAGAGCTTTTATGCACTAGTTCACTCCACAAATGCCCACAATAGTCAGGGCTGGATCAGGCTGAAACCAGGAACTCCATCCAGGTCTCCCAAGAGGATAGCAGAGACCTAAGTACTTGGGCCATCATCCACTGCTTTCCCAGGTGCATGAACAGGAATCTGGATCATAAATGGAGTAGCCAGGACTTGAACTGGCACTCCAGTATGGGATGCCAGTGTCACAAGTGGCTGCTTAACCACTGAGCTACAGTGCTGGGTCCCATGACCAGATCTTTTCAACCTCCCTTAGGAAATCCTATCTGGAGTTCTCCAAAATAGGAGTTTGAAGTGCAACCAAAGTATTCAGGGTTTTAAGTACCACAGGGTTGGGCATTTGGCCTAGCCATCAAGATCTAGGTGAGATACTTGCTACCATATTGGAGGGCCTGGGTTCAAAGCCCAGCTCTAGCTCCTGATTCCAGCTTCCTACTAAGTAGTGATAGCTCAAGTAGTTGGGTTCCTGTGACCCACATGAAATTCCTGGGCTGAGCTCCTGGTGTGAGCATTTGGGGAGTGTACCAGTGGATGGGAGCTCTTTCTCTCTTGGCTATCAAATGAAACTAAAATAAAGTACTCTGGATGTCATCTGCCCGTGTATCACCAACTGGCTCTAAGTCTTATCTACTGAAAGCCAGCTCAGCTCAAACTTGACCACCCACCTTACCATTCCTGTGTTTTCCTTTAAGATTTATTTTTAACTGATACATAATAACTGCACATATCTATGTGGCACAATTTCTATACATGAACACATTATGTTTAAATCAGGCTAATTAGCATATCCATCACCTGAAAATATTTACTATTTCTTTTTAGCAAAACATTCAAAATCCTTTATTGTAGCTATTTTGAAATATATAATGCATTTTGTCTGCTACCATACATTAGTGTCTACTGTTCAGTAGAACACCCCTTCTCCTGTACCCTTCCTGGCCTCTGGTAACCACTATTTTAGTCTCAAGTTCTATGCTATCAACATTTTCTACTAGTTTTTCTTTTTCTTTTCACTATATTTGACAGAGAGAGAGAGGGATCTTTCATCTGCAGATCACTCCACAAATGCCTACAAGGCTGGGGCTGGGCCAGACCCAGGCCAGGACCCCAAAACTCAATCCAGGTCTCCCATGTGGGTGGCGGGGAGGCAAGTACTTGAGCCATCACCTGCTGCCTCTGAGGGTGCACGTTAGCAGGAAGTTGGAATTGGGAGCAGAGCCAGGTCTCAAACCCAGGCACTCAGCTAGAGGATGCGGACATCCCAAGTAGCATCTTCACCACTAGGCCAAATGCCTGCCCTGCCTCAACCTTCTTAAACTCACATATGTATGCGATCATGTGACATTCGTCTTTGTATGTCTGGCTCATTTCACTTAGCACAATGTCCTACAGGTTCCTTCTTCACCTATCTCTCCAGACACTCTGGTTCCCTTCCCCTGATTTTCCTTTGTATGTTCAAAGGTAGAAGAACTAACAGAAATATACCCAAGGGACAGAGGAGCCGCTGCCAGCCTTGGGCCAAACATGCCTCTTCGAATTAGGGCCCATCAGGAGCCTGGTGGCAGAGGCTGCTGGCCTCAGGGCAGCTTGGGGGTCCTCCTGGGAAAGATCAAAGCAAAACCAGCTGCCATTTGTTGCAGGGCCTTTTTCTTTTTTAAAAAACAACATTTTAAATACCCATTTAGGCGTCTTTTCTTGATCTGTGAGCTTTTGAGACAACTCCTTAGGAACAGTAAAATGATTTCAAGTTTTACATGGAGTTACTGAGGCTCTGTCTTGCCCAGAGCCCCAACCAGGCTCTGAGGTTTGCTATCCCAGCCTGACCACAGTCCCTGGCCAGCCTCCCTTTCTCATACAATGATGGGGTTGGGTGAGCCAGTCTCTGAAGTCCTCTTGCCATCCAAACTTTTATGATTTATTAGACAACCTCAAAGCTAAAATAATATGTTTGACCAAAAACAAAATGAGCTAAGTTCTCCAAGGAAAAGGAATTGCTAAATGTGGTGAAGACATCTATGAAGCATTGCACAAAACATTTAATTTATAGATACATGCCAGTGTCAGATTACTCAGTCAAAAAGATAGCTCTGGGGAGCAGGTGGGAGGAGTAAGCAAGAGATTATTGCAGGGTTCCTTTAAGTCATTTGTAGAGGTTAGTGTAGACTGTAAAGCCAGGGACATCTTCATGAGCAGAATTACAAGCTCCTCTGACCCAACTTGGACAACAAGGGAAAATGCAAAGTCACAAGCAAAGTGGGGAAGCAGGAGGAGAGAGATACGGACTTGAATTCTGGCTTCTCTGTTCATTAGCTGCCTGTCATCCTGCAAGTTATCGGACTTGTCTCAGTCTTCTCTTCTGAAACATAGGAACGGTTACCCTGAGCTCACAGCTTGCTGGGTGATTACACGAGATGACTCACAGACAGCACTTGGCATACTGTGCGGCGCAGAATGAGAATCCCAGACATGGTAGGAAAACAAGACCGCTCTCAGCCTTGGAAGACTGAAGGAACCCAGGTGCAGAAGACAGGGCCCTCCTTTCCTGTGGGGAAAGGAGGGAACCGTGTATAGAAGACAATCTCTAAAAGGGCCTTAAAATTATTTTTAAGACCTACCCATAAAATCAGGGCAGGTATTTGGTGTATGGTTAAGACACTTGAGGAGTATAGCAGGCTAAGCCTCCAGCTGCAGCATTGGCATCCCACGTGGGTGCTGGTTTGTGTCCCAACTGTGCCTCTTCTGATCCAGCTCTTTGCTGGTGGCCTGGGAAAGCAATAGAAGATGGCTCAAGTGCTTGGGCTCCTCTGCACCTGCATGGGAGACCCGGAAGAAACTCCTGGTTCCTGGCTTTGGATTGGTTCAGCTCTGCCATTGAGGTCATTTGGGGAGTGAAATAGCAGATGGAAGACCTTTCTCTCTCTGCTTCTCTGTCTATAACTCTGCCTCAAAAAAAAAAAAAAAAAAAGGCACTTGGGATGCCTGCATCTCATATAGAGTGCCTGACTTCAAGTCCTGACTCTGATTCCAATCCAGCTTCCTATTAAAGTACACCCTTGGAGGTAGCAAGTGATTGCTCAAATAGCTGAGTCCTTGCCTCCCACATGAGAGACCTGGATGTAGTTCCTGAGTCCTGTTTGTAGCCAGGCCCAGCCCCAGCTATTGCAGACATTTGGAGAGTGAACCAGCAGGTGGATGATTTTGCTCACTCTCTGCCTTTCAAATAAATAAATTTTAAAAACTTTAAATCTACTCATAAATAAATGTATTATTTGGAAATGAAAAAGATCACTAAGTTTTAAGCAAAGTATTGTCTAATTTTTGAGGGCAAAAAGATGCCTACAGAGAAAAGAGGAAAGCAAAACAGATTCTATTTTTGTAGGAGTTTTAATGACCCACGGCACAACCCCAAAGTCATCCTCTAGCTCTCTCTGCATGTTGAGGGACTCATGGCTGAGTTCCAAGTCCTTGTTAAGGAAGAAAAGACCTTTTGTTGGCCAGATCTCAGTTGCTAAGTATTTGAGTTCAACTGATGAAATTTGATTTTTGCTATGACACTTAGAAAGGATAAGAGAGAGACAATACTAAGATAAGCCAAAGCCTGAGAAACCTTCTCATAACACACAGGAAAACAGCTTTTCTGTGTGCGTATACAGAATATCCAGAGGATTTTTTCTGGGAATGGACAACCCACATCCTTACCATTATAATGGGCCCCTTACCAGTAGCTGGAAGGAACTGGAACATCTTCCAACATCAATACCCACTTCAACCTTGGAATCCAATGGTGCAGCCAAAGAGATTCTGGTTAGACGCCAACAGAACCTTCCTGTAGAACCCAGTTTGACATACTGAAGTCAGGTGAATACATTTGGGGCCACAACTGCTTATGCTGCTCCGCTGACCATTGTGAGCTCAGCAACAGCTCACAGGTCACTCTGAGCATGCATGCTTTGAGCAGATGAAGGCGGGACATCACAGTGACCCAGCCTGGGAGAGCTCATCGACAGGGGCACTGAGTGGACATGAACAACAAGGTGCTCACTACGCTGACAGCCATTCCCTGTGAGGTCTGCCTCGTTATGAAGTCCAAATCTGGTGCTGAAATGGGAATCTAAGCTCCCTGACTTGCTTCTTTAGGACAAGATAAGCATGGCTGGGAAGACTGGGAATCTGATGGGATCCATTAAGAATGTCTATGGATGGGAAAACTCAATCTCCTTGGTGGTTAATGGGCAGAGATGATCAGCAAATCATTGTTTCTGGCTGGTAGGTGATATTTCCTCCCTTCACTAAGCCCATTTAGTGACAGTACAATTTTACATATTACGGGACTGTCCTCATCACCAAAGAAAACCATGGGGCTATGGTCCTGGGTCAATCTCTGGACCTCCCTGATACCCTCTGTTCTGTGTGTAGACCTCTGCTAGCCATGCAAATGGAGCAAATGTGCATGATCTAGGCACAGAGGAGAAAGCAGACCTTGTTGCTATTCTCCCTCCCCTGCCTCCCTCCACTAAGGCACTGGTAAGCACAGCCACCTAACACCCTGCCCTCCTGGGAATAGCCCTCCTTCCTGACTTTGAGTTGATTCTTGGAGGTAATGGGTCAGCATTCCAAACACGTCTTACTCCTTTATATA